ATCCTCACCACACAAGCCCGAAGCACTCTGGCAAATTGAAAATGGGTGAGGAACAACCCATCCCGATGTTGTAACAAGGAACCAACCACCAACCCTCGAACCGCCAGGAACTCCCATAGCAACCTCACTGGACAGAAAAGACCACCTGTTGCACTTACCCGAACCCGAGCACCAACTCCTCCCTGATCAGTCTTGGACCTACGAATGATCAACATCATGTCGCACACTGTAACCCTGACATCCGACAGTATAATGGCGGCCATAGCCCTAGTACTGGGCGCCACTAGCTCCCCTATTCAGAGAGCCCCAAAGAAACAGAGGGCGAACGCACAGATAATCCTCGTAGTCCGAGGAACAAACATGGGGCAAAATTTCTAAGAGTCTGCACAAGATCACGTAGGAAATAGGACACCGAGAGTCAGGCCTACGGCCTTTCTTCCTGCCCTTCATAACCCTCGAAATGCAAAACACCCTGGTAACGTCTTGCCACCCGCACCACTGAAACAGAAACGACAGGGCCGTCAAATGTCTCTCAGCCACCGCAGCTGACTTACCCGCAGCGCAGAGTGAGTCCAATAAGGCCAGCATTGCTGACAACCTACCTGCGTCCGAGGAAGCGTTCCTGGAAGCACCGAACTCCGCCCCGACCTCCACGATGACTCAGGCAATGACCCCCTCACTAACCGACTTAAATGTCGGAAACCAGGTCCCATACTCCTAACGGACACGAGGTTCCAGTCTGAAACCGGTCCCACTGAAACCGAGAGAGTCGGCTATAACATTTTGCTTCCCAGGCACATGACGCGCAACTAGCCACAAATTATGTGATAAACTAAGCATGACCAGGCGCCTGAGGAGCACCAACACTGGAGGGAACGCAGACGTGGAGCAGTTGATCACATGAACCATACTCATGTTGTCCGTGTGTACAACCACCTTCCGATTCGCCAACTCTCCACCCCACAGCTCCACTGCCACTACTATGGGGAAGAGCTCCAAGAATGTTAAATTGCCCAACAAATCCGTCTCCTGCCATTGGCGGGGCCACGCACCTGCGCCCCTGAAAGTAGGCACCGGAGCCCACGGAGCCGGACGCATCGGTGTATAACTCCAAATCCCCGTTGGACACTGCCGGACGAAGCCAGCAGGATTGCACATTATTCACACCCAAAAAGGAACTCCACACCTGGAGATCCTCCCGATGCCACCGATTGATCCGAATAAAGTGGAAAGGCTGCTTAACTCAGACCGTCGACAAGGACAACTGACAACAAAATGCCCTACCCATCGATAAAACACAACAGGCAAAATTCAGATGCCCCAACAATACCTGCAACTGCAGGAGCTGAACTTTCTTAGCACCCTTCACCGAGTCCACCAACCGGAGCAAGTTACTCAGTTTATCCTCTGGCAACCGAAAAACCATGATCTGTATATCCACTTCAATCCCCAAATAAGACAAAACCCCTACCGGCCACTGTCTTCTCTTATCGGGACTCCAAATTCCGAAGAGACCTCACAAAAGGAATCCAGGAGCACCGCGCAGTCGTCCGACTCCCGCAGGCCCACAAACAGAAAATCATCCAGATAGTGAGTAAGAGAAGACAGACCCTAAGCCCAAGAAACCACCCATTCAAGAAACAACGCAAACATTTCAAAATAGGAACAAGAAATAGCGCAACCTTGAAATCGACAACCCAACAAGTGAAAACAGTCAGGGTGGACCGGGAGCAGCCAAAAGGCGGACTCGATGTCCGACTTGGCCAGCTGATCACCCATCCCCGCCCCAACTCTAATGCCCGATCAAAGGAAGCGTATCGGACATGCGACGCCTCCTTATCAATGTCACCATTCACGACCCGCCCGACGGGTAGGACAGGTGATGAATGAGACGAAAAGACCCCGGGTCCTTTTTGGGCGCCAACCCCAGGGGAGAGGTAAATTGTAAAACGGCAACGAGTCGAACGGACCGGCCATCCTACCCAACCGAACTTCTTTCCTAAGCTTATCCTCTAAAATTGCTTCCTTACTTACAGCCGACCACAGATTGTCAGCCAACGACGGGGAATCCGAATGAACAAACCCCTCCAGCAAAACATGCGCGTCCCTACGCTTGGGGTACCGGTCGAGCCACGGGCGCATCCTTAGCATGCTCATTGGCGTTCTCCGCTCTAGGAATGTCCTCCCTAGTGTATTTCCCGCCTTGCTTGCCCTTTTTGAAGCACCGCAGCGCAGAGTGGGCCCCTGCACAATGGGAGCACTCGTGCTTGAATCGACAGCATCCAAAGCAATTGCAGTGGCTCTCATTAAAGAGCCAACACACTTCCTTGCACTGCTCAGCCGGCGCACTAGACAGAGAGATGTCACAGACACGGGGGTGGCAGAGAGATGTCACAGACATGGGGGTGGCAGAGAGAAAGCATAGAGCTGATGGGGGCAGAGAGATATCACAGAGAGACTGGGGCAGAGAGATGTCACTGGCAGGTTGTTTAACCCCTTAAGGACACATGACGTGTGACATGTCATGATTCCCTTTTTTTCCAGAAGTTTGGTCCTTAAGGGGTTAAGGGCACATGGCAGCAGCATGCTTTTTGGAGGCACATATGACTCATTGGCATGATATGCAATTTTTTTGAATTTAATGCTCTTTGGCATTATATATAGGGTAATGCATTTACTGCTCATTGGCACGATATACAAGATTTATGCATTAAATGCATTAATAGCATTCCCTTGCCGGAAAATCCTTCAGAACTGCTTTTACTAAGCGCATGCCTGGTTGGGAAGATCTCCCTTACTGATTATTGATGTGTAAGTGTCAAGTGGCAGAGCAATTCCTCCCCGGGCTGCTCTCTAATCACTTCTCACATCTAAATGCTTAAGAACACAGCACTTTAATTATTTCTATTCAATCATCTTGTATGTCTATCAACACATCTATTTTGTTTGTGTACTTATGTCAATCGCTGATGTTAACAGGTGGGTTGGTAAAATTGCACTATGGGCCACTAAATTGTTTTGCCCCCCCAGCCCTTCTCTGCACCTATTTAATATTATTGTTAATTCCAATGATGGTCCAGGATATATAATTGATTATTCAGGGGTTTTCAACTATGCTCTTGCTTTGTATAAAAAAAAGCATTTGGTTGGTTGCCAATGTATGTTATTACTGCTGTGCAATTAGTGGCTTCAAAGCTGCATCACAATGGGCTGGGTTATATTGTTCTCCAAAAGTGACTTTGTTCTTCTGTGGGGCCAGCATGCTTATGTTCCTTAACACTTCATTATTTGTAAAAAGTATCACTATTACTAAAGTACTATTTGGTTGAATTCTGAGATAAAATAGGTAACGATAAGTCCAGTTTATTGATGGAGTAAAGCTGTTGGAACATTTTTGGTAAAATACAAATAATGCCAACCTGTTCAGTGGCCCCCTCCATAATATTTCAAATTTGTAAGGCAAATTTTCTAAAATACTGGATTATAGAATTTAAAAAAAATCAAATAACAAAGTGGGGATTGGGCCTGACCGCTGAGTGGACACTAGTTAACACAGCTCCTGCTCTGCAAGGCAAGTTATACCTAGGCACACATGCCGATACCGAACAAGTGGACCCAATTGTGGGATTTGCGCCGAGGACGCTGAGTGGCCTACAAGTATGGTAGGCGTGGGAGAGACGGACCTTCCAACACCCCTAAGGCTGGAAACCCGAGTATGGGCCCACGTTCCATCCACTATGGACTGGTGGGATTATCCCATTCCCAGGAGAATGTCCTTATGCTCCACGGCAGCAATGCCAACAGAGACTCCCCACCTCTAACATGGTGGCGATCACAAAAGGGCTTCCTGGGGCAGCACAGCCATGTTCCACTCTCCAACGCCTGGATGATATTTTTGCAGTCTTCGGGCTTCACATAATGGAGAGAGGGTGGGGCCAACCTCTGCTCCCCCAGCATTCCATACCTATTGATGAGCATGTGGGAGCCCATAGTGTTGTTCAGGCAACTGACGGTCCAGAAGTTCGTTGGAGGCTGAAGATCTCACTGTCATACCAAGCGCTCCTGCACCTGGACCGCAGGTGAACATACCTGATCCTTACTGGCCATTCTATAATCCTGACGGTGATGCAGTGTTGAAGCGGCCCAGAGGACTCCAGTGGGAACACATGCTGCCTTCATCACTGGGATATGTCTTGGTCCTGGTAACAATGGACTTTCGCATGCTGTTTCAGCAGCTCAGCAGAGGGGGCATCAGCTGATTCCAGGGGGGTTATCATGCTTTGTCTCTTATGGGTACTGGGGATGACTCCTGTCCTCTCACTTTCACTATCCGCAAGTTGTATCAGCATGTTCCTTAATCCATACTTTTCCCAATCAGTATGAGTAGATGGATTTATATGTAGCATGTAAGTCTAGCGAGTTTCAGGGCAGATTATCAATAACCCTCTTGTTTCTCATGTCTTTCATGCCTACAACTTAGAGATGCCAGTTTAATTTGTTTTTCCTTTCTTTTTTTGTTTTAAAATATAAAACTGTGCAGTTTATCTTGTCATTTAATGCTCTCGTTACTAACTTGATATGTTCTAAATTGAATGTTATTGTCATTCTTTGTGTGTACCACTGCACTTCAAAAATAAAGAATGACAAAAAATAAATAAAGTGAGGATTTGAATGCAATACTAACACCTGATCCAACATGACTGATCATTAGTAAATGAGCTTGATGTATATCTGCTTAGTTGCTCTAAAAGAAAACAGATCACTGGGAATAAAAGGTGAATGAGGAAAAAAAAGGATATTACACAAAATGCCCACTAGAGGCACTCTCACACAAAGCTTTTTTTTATTGTTTTTTAATCAGAAGGAATACCAAAAAAATAAATGAACAACCATAAACACTACATTTAAAATTTTTCACACATACACTTATCAGAATGGGAAATACAAAAAGGTAATATATTATATTATAGATTATATTATGGTGATATTAGGATATCACACACAATTCCAGACAAATGTTGCTGCAGGTTTATCATTTAAATATATTTCTAACACAGGGTATTATGGGAATGACAGCATTTGACAGTGTGTTCATTTACAAAATTCACAAAAATGGATATATAATTGACATCCAGCACTGCATCATTTACCTATGAAAATATGTCTGAAAAAATATACCCTTGTTCTATGAGATACAGATGCCTAGTTATCTCCAGGTCACTATATTAACTGTATGATCATGTGATCATTACATATTTGTTCTACATTCCCCAAAGATTCCATCACATTCCACCACAAGAGTATTTGACAATTTTTATGTATATATTTGATATCCACCTACTGTGGATTTGATATTTGTTCTTATTTGTTCTTGTAATTATTCCGACACTGAGTAGTATTGAAAGACTAACGGTTTCTTCTACTGTTTCAACAAAATACTTAGTCTTTCAGTACTTCGCATAATCAGTAAAAAAAATTATTTTTACGGTTTATTGCAGAAATATTTTTAAGGTTAGGCCAGAGCTGTCAAAGTTTTGGCCCTGTAGAATCTCTCATACTTTTTATCACCTGAATCAATACATGAGTAGTAAACACTTTATACAGACATACTTTTAATATTTTAGGAATGACTCAATAGCAATCTGTACAAAAAATTGAATTTTTGTGGATTTTATGAGAACAGCACTCTCCTAAGACCAATTTTAACAATATCACTGTTTATTAAATATTCCTAATATGGATATGAGGTTATTTCGTTCTGCCTGTCAGTGTTCGTTAAATATTTATGATACATTATGCTCATATTTGTATTCTAGTTCTTTCTGCCTTCAAATGTCTTATATTTCATTAAATGTAAAAAATATTTTATTTTATTTTATAAAGCTGCATTCGATGTTAGTAACATAGCAAATCATATTTTTTTCTTTTTCATTCTTCAGACGTTACAGACCAAACCACCACCAAAATACATAACTATCACTTTATCATTAGCCTAGCCTCCTGGGCAGATGATGTCAATTGTATTTTCATTAACGTGTACTAAAACATGTTCAATTATTTTGAACTAAGAAAGGATGTGAATAGTACCGGCTGGTACATGTAAATATTAAAAATATAGCATTTTAACATTTTGTCTCCTAAGTTCCTCTTCTTTAGATTTGCCAAGAACTACAATCTTACAAAACGTAGATCCCAGAGAGACAAATTGACAATACATAGTTTTGGTCTTGTATTCTATGTACCAATATTATTATATATAATAATTCTTATATGTTGTTACCTCCTGAAACGTGTGATAAGAGACCAGCAACGTTTACAGTTACATTCATCAATGTGGGCCGGCAAGAATAAGGAAAAAAGGACAATTGGCGTTGGTTAATTTTAACTGAAGAATGTCAGCCATGGTTTTTGTACAAAAAGCATGGGCACATAAAATGAGTTAAACCCAAATAAACCTGTTCTACTTTTATTTGATTTTTTCGTATCTATTGATATTTGCTTGTATTTATTTCCTGCATGACTTCCTACTAATGTTCCAAAGTACAACCTTTTTAATGCTTTTTCAGTTGCTGTATAATTAGACTATATGTTTGGGCCTGCCCCATTTCTGCAAATTGCTAACCTGTACCTGCATGTTTGACTGCACATATCACGTCCCAAAGGGCAGCCATGATAGTGTCACTTATCACAACGAACTATGTATTCGTTATTGCTGTTTGACTTGTAACGCTGGCTCCGTTATCATGTTGTTGGCAGAATATTTCAAACCAAATCACTGTCAAAATGTAAATAATATTTTCTGCCAAAAGGATGCATTGACCTAGATAATACACACATGCCTATTTACAATATATTGCATAGCGTGGAGAATCAAATTACTAATTTAAAATTATAAATATTCTATCATTAAAACAAAAGTCTGAGTAATTAACAGAAGAGCATGACGTTTGTGTGGACAGTGTCATTATAAAGTTTGCAAAATAATTTTCAAATATATATATATATATATACATATATATTATCCATTCTTTTAGACCTATATATTAATTGTGTTTCCTTCTTTTATTATCTGTTTATTATATTTTTAATTTGAAATAGTCAATAGACACACTAAATGTCTTTATTTTTTTATCGGATACGCTGCCATACAACAGTTAGGACAAATCTTGAAAATTTCCATTTTCGTATTGGTAGGAAGTCTGTTCATCGAAGTCCTGTGTCGTTCCTTTTTGCTTCCTCCAGCCTTTCTTTCGTACCTCGATGTTCTGAATAGTAGCGCCATAGCTTGTCTTTTTATTTGAGCTAGTGAAGGATTCGTTATTTAATTCAGTTTCTTCTGCAAGTTCATCATTTTCAATGATTCCACATTTATCTTCACTAAGATTCTCTGGATCAGCCCAGTCCTGCTTTTCTCCCGAGGCAAAAATGCCATAAAATATAACTCCGCTGTAATGGACTATGGCAGCAATCAGAAACACATTTTGCCATTCTTCACGAGACTAGAATGAATCAATGGTATATAAATTACAATGGGAAGATCGCGTGCAACTAGACATTTTTTCAAGAGCAATAATTTAAATTATGTTTTAAAAACAGCCTATTGATGTTTAACTCTGTCAAGTGAGATATGGAGTTTTTTGTAAACAAAAATGTCATTCAGTAAACTGTTCATCTGTTGATTGCGGTCAGAATTCTACAATTTTCACTGGATTTTGTTAATCTGGACAAAATCCAGTGAAAATTACCGAACTACAAACATAATGGCGATTCTCATATTTACTAAAGCCAAATGCAGTTGGAATTCTGTCTCCCAAAGCCGATCTGCAGAAATTGCCGAATGCATATGGTGTTCGGATTAAAATTTGTGCTTTGCCATCTGAATCCTATGTAAAGTATAGGTTTAGACAGGGCTGCTCAACAGGTAGATTCCCAGATGTTGTAGAACTACAACTCCCATGATACTTTACATGCCTTTAGAATTCTGTTAGAATGACAAAGCATCATGGGAGTTGTAGTTCTACAACATCTGGGGATCTAACTGTTGGGCAGCCCTGGTTTAGAAGATCACAAAGCATCAATTTGAAACTGAATAGGGACAGAATGTATCTAGCAGGATGCGCATTCGCAAATTGATGTTCACTTGCTTTTATGCAAGCGAAAGATAATTTTAAGTACTATATGCCTGCTGGGTTAATAAGACCCCTATATGACAATATAATATAATATGACAATCACAGTGCTCTGACAGCCAAGTCTCCAGACTTTAACTCATTTGGGCCTGATTTCAGGGGTTTGGTGGCATTTTATACGGCTGAAATCTGTACCAAATTCAGACCAGCTTGGCGCCTATGATATGGGACCCATGATGTGAAAAATGCAATTTATAAATATTGCATTTTATACCATCCAGTGCCATTTGGTCCATTCTATTCTACTATTTACATGAATGCAAAAAATACCAGTAAATTATAATTTTTGTGTTTTGTCTCTTTCTGTTCTCATCTCACTATTGCTTACCCTCGTCCATATGATGGCAACAAATCCCTTTCTTCTCCCGTTTACAGGCAATTTTTTTCTTACTTTTTTTTAATTGAATACATACACTGCCTATATTACTAGTTAAGTAACATGTACTCCATGTATAACTCTCTTGTGCATTACTTTACCACTTCCTTGGCAATGTGGCTTACTAAAAAGATGGATTGATAGATATGGATCTTTTACCTTGTGCCTCGTCATTGCCCCAACAATGAGTGGGCATACCATTCCGGATAAGGTACCAACACCATTAGATATTCCCATGAGAATACTGGCATACCGTGGTGCAATGTCTAGATGATTGACATTGAAACCTACAAGACAAGATATATTTTTAATGAATCATGTTATTGATAAAAAAATTTTTTTCCATATTTTTTATTTTTTCTTCACTCTCGCTGTTTACCTATTTTTTTTACTACTCTATTTGCTTATATTGCTCATTTTTCTTTGATTTACTTTCTTTGCTTACTCTTTCCCTTCACCTTTCTTAGCTTTCTCTTGATATTTGTTCTCAACTCTTTAATTTGTATCGGTGTTGTTTGTATCCTAGCATTGAGTTAAAGTCTTTTTGTGGTTATTCATTATTAATATAGTTTGTTTTGTTTTTCTTTTTGTGTTTGTAAGTTTATACTTTAATTTGGCTAGTGTTTTTTTGGTGTATGCCTCTTAGTTTTGATCTAAAAAAACAAAAAAAACTTTCTTTTGCGAGAGAGGGCAGGGCCGTCTTTAACGCGGGGCAAACGGGGCAGCTGCCCCGGGCCCAGTTGCTCCTGGGGGGCCCAGAGCAGCTGCTCTGTGGGCCCCGCGATTTGCGCAGCCCCTATGGGCCGGGCGGTGCGGCTCCCGCACACTGAGGAGGCTCCCCGGGTGGCCCATGCACTAAGGGCCACCCGGGGAACATGTGTCAGCAGGGGCCCGGTCGGGCGCTGTGGCGCTTAAACAGCGCGACCGGGCCCCTCTTCCGGTTCTGCAGCCGGCTGGGAGGAAGTGACGTCACTTCCTCCCACCGGAGATAATGGCCGCGCGAGAGGAGGAAGGCAGGGAGGAGGGGAGTTCCAGAGGAGAACTCCCATCTGCCTCAGCCTGCCACTGGACCAGGGAAACCACCCTCCAGGAAAAGGTAAGAACCTGGAGGGTGGCTAAATGTATGTCAGTAGGTCTCTGTGTGTGTGTATGTGTGTCAGTATGTCTATGTGTGTGTATGTGTGTGTCAGTATGTCTGTGTGTGTGTGTGTCAGTATGTCTGTCTGTGTATGTGTCAGTATGTCTGTGTGTGTATGTGTCAGT